ATATATATATATATATATATATATATATATATATATATATATATATATATATATATATATATATATATATATATACTATAATATAAACAAATATTTTTTTTTAAATATAGTTTATTTATTTATTTATCATACTAATTCCAAACTTTGTGAAACAAAAATAATTTTTGGCAGGAATACTAATAACTAATTTACATATTTACACTTCAGATGGGGCATCTAAATATTGTGTAAAGAATTTGTATATACAATATAACTAAGTAACTAACTATAAATAAATAAATAAAGTATGTGGTTTGGATTGTGCATTTTACTACGTTTGTAAACAATGACCTAAGGTTTAACTAATAATTTCTTGATATCACCACAGTCTCTCTCTCTCTCTCTTTCCTCTTTATTTTTTTGTAACAGTGGCATAAGTTGAAGCTGCTTTTAGATGGACCAAACTGTGACAAAAATGCAGGTTGAGACATCTTCATAAAACCAAATCTTCTCTGACCCCAAAAGGTAAAAGTTCTAAGATATAAGCAGCATGATGGAATTTTCAGCAGTGCTATGAAGCCACGAGGGTGGGAATCTGGCCTTTTGTCTGGTGTTAAAATAGGTTTGATGAGCTACGGGCTGCAGGCTGCAGTTGTCAAAGGCCTGGTGATCTCTAGTGAGAAATGATTCCCTTCATTTCAGAGCCGAATATACTCCTGCCTCAGAGAGCCAAACGGAGCCAAATGAAGTGAGACCAACTTACAAGAAAGTGCATAAAAAGGCTTGTGCGACTGCCAGAGATAGTCCGGTTTTACTTGGGCAGAGTGAAAGAGACAATTTCCATTCACTCCTTAACTTCAATGAAAGGAGGATGCAGCTCGTCTTAACACACACACTCTCTCTCCTCTCTCCGAGGCATTTCATCTGATTATGAGTACTTTGCAATCTGCGACAACATGATTGATGCTCCACTTTCATGAGGGGAATTTTAACAGCACCTCTTCAGCGCTCAGTGCACACCCAATTATGCGTCTGAGCCAGTAACCTTGAATTTATGTTGCCATGGCAACAAATATAAAATAAAAAAAACGGAGAGAAAAAAATGGTCATGCATTATGGATTATCATTGAAATTCTACACCCCTACCCAGCATAATGAGAGTTCGGGACTTAATCAAATCAGCCATTCCGGGTGACACAAGCTGAAGAACTGGCTTCCATTGTTGGGGTGCCTAGAGAAAGGCAGCAGGCCTGACGAGCCAGCAGCTGCGGGGCTGCAGCCTGATAGATGGCTCCCATATACATCAGTGAACATACAGACAGATGGTCCTCAATGCTTGGAATTTCCAACCCAGGAAGCAGCTGCTCATACTAACCTCTGCTGTTCATCTCACCTTGTTGTCATGGAACATTGAGCAAGGAAGGAGAATGTGGACAGCTCCACTTGGAGCCCTGCCTGAGACGCTGTTTGTGCCTCATTCTTTTTTGCTTCTCCCTTTCCCTCTGGTCTTTTCTGTTTTTTTTCCAGCTCCTCGTCTGAAGGGTGGGGCGGTGGGGAGTCTCCCCCCTCGTGCCAGGTCTCAAAAGAGGGATAAGGCGACCAGAATAAATCGGATTTTGTGTTTTACCACCAGACTCTTTCTCTGTCCCTGCCGTTCCTTCAAATGACGGCCTCTGACAGATGACATAACTGTGAAGCACATAACTGGCTCCTGATTAATATCGCTGAGGTGGGGACATTTACAATCACAGCAACATTTAACAACAAAGTGATCGGAAGTTATTTATTTTCAGCAACAGCAACAGCGATTGTTCCTGATACAATGTGGTTGAGTCCAGCTATGCAATAAAGTAAGTAACTTTAGGCAAATGAGCAGCAAACCAATATGTGTGTGTGTGTGTGTGTGTGTGTGTATTAAATTGCCATCATCTCTAAATCGAAGAGAGGATGTACGTGTGTTGAGAAGTGAGCTTTTGTTAGTACGAGTGAAATATGTTTGTTGAGGGGCCACGCCGTATGTGCGTGAGAAAGAGAGATAGTGAATGCGCGAGAGAGAGCGAAAGAGAAAGAAAGAAAGGAGAAAGAGATGGGGGAAATAATAATAATAATAATAATGATAATGATGATGATGAAATGTAAAAAAAGAAAAGCCATAGTAAAGTCATAATATAAATTTAGATCTATAACTTATTTACTATGTTGAGTTCCCTGCAGTAACCTTCCTTTGATGGCTTTGGAAGGAGAGTCACAAGTGCAGTTTGGTTCTAATTAGCATTTAATTAATGATGCATGCATATGCAAAGCAGCATTAAACAACGCTGATTACCTCCTACCTATTCACAGGCCAACAGTCAAACATGTCTGACATGCATCCGCCGCATGTAAACGCCTTACTGAAAGGTTAAGTCTTGAAGTTCATTAACACAAGAGTGACTTGTGCTCCTGGCCAGCGGCTGGTCCCTTGGGTATGTGAACAACAGCATTCTTATATCTATCTATTTTTTATTTTTATTTTTTTGTTTACAGACATTTGACAGAGATAGAAACTTTAATGGCCTTTGGTTGTTGTTCATAGAACATGACCTTGGCATAAGTACTGGGAATCTGGGACTAAATACTAGAACTACTTTTACAGCCAATTTTATGCTATTCAATATGCTCTGATGGCAATGAATACTGCTCATTTTGATCCTATGTGATATTTATGCGCAAGCAATGACCTGTAATACAGACACACTTGTCTTTTATTGTTCAGAGGTGCAAGTAAATTTACCAGCGTCACTGAGGCATTCATTAATGATCGCATGTGATGTAAGTCTACATTACCGGACATATTTATTACTACTTTTGTAAATGATTGTCTTTATTGCTCTTGTGATCATGGAAATACTCCCCCTCTTTGACTTGCAAAACCCATTAGTCTGCCTATTTATTATTTATGTCAGAGTTAAGGAATCTGACAAAATCATAATGGATACCCTCTGCCTTGTTTATTATGTTTACAGACATTTGACAGAGATAGAAACTTTAATGGCCTTTGGTTGTTGTTCATAGAACAACACCTTGGCATAAGTACTGGGAATCTGGGACTAAATACTAGAACTACTTTTACAGCCAATTTTATGCTATTCAATATGCTCTGATGGCAATGAATACTGCTCATTTTGATCCTATGTGATATTTATGCGCAAGCAATGACCTGTAATACAGACACACTTGTCTTTTATTGTTCAGAGGTGCAAGTAAATTTACCAGCGTCACTGAGGCATTCATTAATGATCGCATGTGATGTAAGTCTACATTACCGGACATATTTATTACTACTTTTGTAAATGATTGTCTTTATTGCTCTTGTGATCATGGAAATACTCCCCCTCTTTGACTTGCAAAACCCATTAGTCTGCCTATTTATTATTTATGTCAGAGTTAAGGAATCTGACAAAATCATAATGGATACCCTCTGCCTTGTTTATTATATTGGACACCGCATGAGAATGGTTTGATAAATCCATGCCCGGCCTATGTTTTCATCTTGTGGGCATTTTTGCCGTGCGGCATGACTGAACTCAGCCCGGTCGGGCCATAACGCAGTCAGGGTAATGAACCTGATGACAGCATAACTCCCGTCCTGAAATTTCATGCATGAAGGGACCGTCGAGCCATACCTCAGCCTCTCGTGTCATTTGTTATCGTTAATCCTTACATTTATGGCTGAAAATATCTTATTAGGAGGCGTGCCCGAGGTATTTCACTTCGATTCTAGGCTCTGTGACATATTGATTAGACAGCGAGGATTGCGTGAACAAGCCTAAGACCTTGACTTTGGACACCTGCAAGGTATGAATACGAGTGTCTGGTTCATATTCAACATCCAGGGTAATTTCCCTTTGAGGGGAATCAAGGGCAAGTCTGGCCTTTCAAACCCCAAGTAGGTACGGACATGGGAGACGTAGAGTGAGCTGTGTCAGATGGATTACGTTTCCGTGTGGACATCCATCCTCATTTTGGCTCATAGAAAGCCATTTTGGAAAAAGAGCAAGTTGAATCTCTCACAGGAAGACCAGGAACATGCATTAAGACAGCAATCTATTTTAAATTCACTATATGGCTCCAATTATTATCATTTTGTTGTAACTTTGCCTTTCCTGCTCAGAAAATTCCATCATACAAATCAACATGCACGACAATTGAGGACATACATATTGACAACCTCAACCAGACTCACCAAATCAAAGGTTAACTCATTTTAACAAGACAGGACATGACATCCTCTCCTAATGCAATTTAAACATGCCCATTAACTTCCACAGACTTGCATTTAAATTATATAGGCAGTATTTACACACATATACAGAAAGTTGCCATTGGTGAAGTCAGCCTCACAAAGAGCTCATTCACGCACTTGTGGTTAAACTATATGGTGATGTCAGAGGAAAATTAAAACGTCCCATGGCATTACCAGAATATTACAGTCATATTTCAAATCCAGAGGTGATTCATGGAGAGAGAGAACAACATTCATACCACTCAGCAAAGTCATGTTTATGATGTAACTGGATGGCACAGGAAATCCCCTATCAAGTGAAGTTTATAGTGTTTACTGCTATGAAGGTTTGTTAAACTTGAAAACATTTAAAACTTTATTCTGTTTTAGTGATGCTTGCGTAGAGATATAAACTTCTGTGTGTAACTTAAACAGTACCATTTGTGCTATGGATATGAATGATTCCCAAAATTGTGCAATTTATTGTAGAGACTGAAGTGTTCTATTCATTTAATAGCAACTGGACTTAGCATAGAGATGTGAGACCCACTGCTTGCACAGAAGTCATTTTCAAACCAACCAGGTTTTTGTTGCTCAACATAGTGAATTCATTTGAGCAACTTGAAAATGAGGAAAACTTGCCTTTGGTAGTTTTCGCCCTCATGCAAGACTCCTGGTGTAACGGGGCTGACAAGACGTGAGACATGCGGATCCATGTGCAGGCTTTATTAAGCAGAGAGGTCAGAAACACAGGCAGGGTCGAACAAGGGCAAACAGGAATATGGCGGGTAAGACATAAGAATAATCCTAGAGCTAGCGAAGGTCAACGAACGGCGAACAGAGTCAAAAGGGGCAAGACTAAAGGGGTAAATCCAGGAAAACAGGCGAAGATCAGAAACCGATAAAACAGGCAAGACTAGGCTAGGCTAGGCGGCTAACGAGGGCTCTGTAGTGTAGCTATCAACTGATAAGTGCTAAACAATACTCGGCAGAGGGAAGGGATCAGAGTGAGTGTTAAATAGTGAATGAGTGATATGAACCAGCTGTGTGCAATCAGTGCTGTGTGCAATCAGTGCAATGAATGATGGGATATGTAGTCCGGGATGATATGCAACAGTACAGTAGACCACCACGGCAGAGCAGAGGACCCCCACGGCGGAGCAGAGGACCATCAGAGCCAGACAGACCACCACGGCGCAGCAGAAGGAACAGGGAACCCTCCCCGGTGAACCACACTGATCAGGAGACCATGGCGGAGACTGTAACAACGAGAAAGCAGAGACAGACAACACAGACAGAACATTGGGGTTGATAGACAAGGCTGGTTGTTCAGAGGCAGCCTCCTTGGCTGGGTCGGGACAGGACAAAAGTTCACAAACGACCTCCTTGGCCGACACAAAGCACGCAAAGAATTCACCAACGGCCTCCATAGCCGTGACAGGACGAGCAGGGAGTTCGCAAACGGCCTGTGTAGCTGTGACAGGACGAGCAGGGAGTTCGCAAACGGCCTCTAAGGCCGTGACAGGACGAGCAGGGAGTTCGCAAACGGCCTCTATAGCTGTGACAGGATGAACAGGGAGTTCGCAAACAGCCTCTAAGGCCGTGACAGGATAGACAGAGTTCATAGGCGGCCTCCTTGGCTAGAACAAGACAAGCAGAGAGTTCATCGACGGCCTCCTTGGCCGGAACAGAACAGGCAGAGAGTTCATAGATGGCCTCCTTGGCCGGAACAGAACAGGCAGAGAGTTCATAGGCGGCCTCCTAGGCCAGAACAGGACAGGCTGACAGTGCGTTGCTGGGCGTCACCACCACGCAAGGAGCTGAAGCGACCACCGCCATTTCGGGAGGTTCTGCAGCATGCGCCGCCACCTCTGAAGAGACTGCAGTGGGTACCATGGTCTCTGGGAGCACTGCAGCAGACACCGCTACCTCGGGAGGTTCTGCAGCGTAAGCCACCACCTCTGGATATGTTGTAGCCGGTGCCGCTGCCTCTAGCAAATCAGCGGTGGAGTACGCGGCCCAGATACACCATAAAGCGATCCCCATTGTGGGAAGCACTACAGACAGTGGAAATAGTTCAGAAGCTGGAGGGCTTGAGAGCCCTGGTTTAGGGATGCCAGCTGCACGTGCCGACACCAGCGGTGGGTCCACCATGCTGGAAGCCAGTCTGGGATACCGAAGAACTGACCGTGATACTCTGGGTGTAACAGACAGGACGTGACATGACTCTGGATGATCGGCTGGGATGCGACGTGATTCTGGATTATCAGCTGTGATGTGACGTGACTCTGGATGAACAGCTGAGACGGGAGGAGGCTCTGGATGAACAGCTGAGCTGTGACGAGGCTCTGGCAGATCAGCTGAGACTTGACTAGACTCGTGAAGATCAGCTGTGACTTGACCTGCCTCACGAAGAACAGCTGTGACTTGACTTGCCTCATGAAGATCAGCTGTGACTTGACTGGCCTCATGAATATCAGCTGAGACTTGACTTGACTCATGTTTGACTTGACTCGTGAAGATCAATTGTGACTTGACTTGACCTATGACAATCAACTGTGACTGTGACGGGGCGCTGTTGTTTCCACCATTTTGTGATCAGGCTCATCTGTCGCCACCATTTTGTGAACGTAATCTAGTGCGGGGGCCATTACAGGAGTGAGTGTGGGGTTGCGTTCCTCCGCGATACCCACAGTGAATAGAGAGCCAACAGTCAACAAAGCAAAGTCCAAAAAACAACTCAGTGATGAACGCAGACCCTCATGAATGAGTTTAAATTTTAGCGGTTGATTAATGCCAGTACAGAAGAAATCTATCAAATGTCTATCCATGTGCAGGCTTTATTAAGCAGAGAGGTCAGAAACACAGGCAGGGTCGAACAAGGGCAAACAGGAATATGGCGGGTAAGACTCAAGAATAATCCTAGGGCTAGCGAAGGTCAACGAACGGCGAACAGAGTCAAAAGGGGCCAGACTAAAGGGGTAAAAAAACAGGCAAGACTAGGCTAGGCTAGGCGGCTAACGAGGGCACTGTAGTGTAGCTATCAACTGATAAGGGCTAAACAATACTCGGCAGAGGGAAGGGATCAGAGTGAGTGTTAAATAGTGAGTGAGTGATATGAAACAGCTGTGTGCAATCAGTGCTGTGTGCAATCAGTGCAATGAATGATGGGATATATAGTCCGGGGTGATATGCAACAGTGTGTAGTGCGAGAGTCAATGAAAATGGAAAGGGTGACCTCTGATGGCTAGCAGATGGAAGTTCATGGACCGGATTCGTGACACCTGGTTGTGCAGACTCCTTTTAAAATGACTGGATTTTGCATGTGAAATTTTGCAGAGCAATGGTAAATGTGACTTCAATTTAAGGTAAAAATGTCAATAAATAAATGCATACATACAGCACATACATACATGATTTACACTGAAGGAGCCATACGCTGCAACAAAATCCTAATCCTTAGTATGTTTGTCCTTTTTCCCCCCCAAATTAAAATATGTAATAAAACTTTAACAAGACAAATTTACTTGCAAATGCTTCTTAATTAATCTTTTTTCTATTTTCAGTAAAAATATCTAAGGGGAAAACAAAAACTTAGAACATTGCAATATTAGGACTTATTTTCAGATGTATTTCAAGTATAAAAAAAACTACCAATGTACAGCATAAATTCAAAATGACAAAATTCATATAAAAGATACTCTTGAAAACATGTCTTAAAAATAGATTTACACTGAAGGAGCCATACTCTGCAACAAAATCCTAATCTTTAGGATTTTTGTCCTTTCCCCCCCCAAATTTACATATTTCATAAAACTTTAACAAGACAAATTTACTTGCAAACACTTCTTAAGTATAATGAAATACGGACGTACTACATCTACCATGTTTGCATTGTCATGTGACTTGCATGCAGCAATCACAGTCATTCCACTCCAGAATCTCACTGAAAATAGTTGGTCATCTGGACACTTTTCATCTATAAATATTGAGAATTTAGACATATTACTGTCATATACTGACAGTCATATACTGTTTTGCCAACAAAAGAGTAAAGTAGTAGTCATATTCAGATACAGAGTGATACTTCCTGAATGCAGAACATCCACATAACTCTTATTATTTCCCAACATTCTATCATTTGCACTTTTTCAGATACAGGAACAGCTGATTACATGACATAATTAAATTATTACACAATTATAACAGTATTACAAGGGTGTTGATGTTTTAGCCAGTAAAATTAAAATAATTAAGATTAAGAATCATGTATTAATCAATTGCCACCAAATATATATATATATATATATATATTTTTTTTTTCTCCCCTTATTTTATTAATTTAATTTGTAAAATATTTATTTTGGGCATTTTTGCCTTTATTAGGATAAGACAGTATTTCAGACAGGAAGCGAGGTGGGATAGAAAGAGGGAGGATGGAATCGGGGAAAGGTCCACAAGCTGTGGCTCGAACTCAGGACGTCCGAAGCACAATGGCACTATATATCGGCGGGCTGCCCACAAGGCTATTGGCACCGATGCCACCAAATATTTCTCATTGAAAGAAATGGGGTTATCAGCCACAATTCTATAAAGAAACTAAGGGGCGTTTTTGATCTCTGCAGTGCCTTATAGGAGTGAGAACAGGTTGGATATCAGCAAACTAAGATCCTATGTTGTTTGTATGCAACAGATGAACTCAACTATTCAGAATTGATCACTGAATGGTTGAGTATGATTAACTAATTCATATAATGGTTTACCGAATACTAAGGGGCGTTTTTGATCTCTGCAGTGCCTTATAGGAGTGAGAACAGGTTGGATATCAGCAAACTAAGATCCTATGTTGTTTGTATGCAACAGATGAACTCTATTCAGAATTGATCACTGAATGGTTGAGTATGATTAACTAATTCATATAATGGTTTACCGAACAAACATGGGCTCATTTGTCACAAAGAGTGGAAAAACAACAAACAAAAACAATCCCAAGAAACGGCCCTTAACTTTCAGGTCACTTTGGCTGACCCTCAGTTGTACTAGCAGTATTGTAGTGTGAAGTGTGACCTTTCTCTGTGTTTTGGCTCCAGTGTGCTGAATTTCAATAAACACAGCAAAGTGACCCGGCAGGACAAACCTGCAGACAGTGTAATAAGGCTCTGTTAGGATTAATGAGCTACCCACGGCATTATTTGTTATGTTATATATCTTATTGATTGGGTTGTCTTTGATCTTTGCATGGTTTTTCTCACTGAGCTCGGGTATGGTTTGTTTTCTTGGTAGACACCGAAGGTTGAGTGGGCAAAACATGCAGAGCATGATCTCCTTGAGGGCACCAGGGCAAGACATTTGTTTAGTACATTAATAAAGTGACAAAAGAAGCCATCATAAATGCTCCTGCAGTGTTCCAATTAAAATGAGTGAGGGTGTCTTTGAAGTGTAAATGAGGAATAAGTTGTGTTTTCCATTATATTGTAATGAAAAGTCAATAATAACGATTTACTTAGCAGGGGGAAGTTCATAATGTGATAAAAAAAAGCATGCAGCTTTGGATCAGCAGGCAAAAATAACAAGCAAATGTTTGATGCAATAAGGAAGGTTCTGGTTTTACATAACCATGTATCCAGTTGTTGAAAATGACAAACAAATGTGATATTTTCAGTATTTGTACATTAAGCCTGGTTCTAGCACACAAATATTTTTGCACATTTGCATAGTCATTGACACATACAATATTATACATCATGACAGAATTTACAACACAAACCCTGTGAAAGGCCAGTCCAGAAAGGTTTGAACCAGTTAATTTGTAAAAATCTCTGAAGGTCAATATTTAAGAGTCCCCAAACATACAAAACTGTGTTTGTAAATGTTATATTCAAATATCTAAGAATATTAACAAGACCAACCTGGTCAAGTTAAAGTGTCAGGACAGATAAATCTTGCTGCACTCCAAAAAAAAAAATGATTGAGCATCATTCAACATGCTTACCAGCATGGTCAGTGCAATTGCAAATGACATGACATAAACAAGAACTGTCAAACAATTATAATCTGTAAACGGCACAGATGGGTTAGTAATAGCTGATTGGTTGTCTGAATCCATTTCGGCTCGCTAAGAGCCTGGTCTCAAAAGCTCACAGAAAATTAGCTAAATTTAAAGGGATAGTTTACCTTAAACATACTCACCTTCATGTTGTTCCAAACCATTTTTCTTCTGTGGAACACAAAAGGGGAAAAGAAAAAGCAAAAAAAAATCCCCCACACAATTATTACAAAGCTGAACTGAATCTTTAAGCTTCAAAACGAACATAAAAGCATCATAATTGTATTATGATAGTAGTCCAAATGACTTCAACGGCATTAAATATAATTGTTCTGAAGCCATAAGGTAAGTTTGCCTAAGAAACAGATACACAATTTCATTTTAAGTTTAAAAAAGCTTGACATCCACCCCAGCTCTAACAGATGTAAGATAGAAGAAGGTATGATTCACTAATGAACGATTCCTTTTAGTCAAATATTTTCAACAAATCTACAGCTCCAGTTTACAAAACCACCTTTAATGGTTTGCTTTGTTATCCACAGAAGCAAAAAAAAAAAAAAAAGTCATACAGGTTTGGAACAACATAAGGGGGAGTAAATGATGACAGAATTTTCATTTTTGGGTGAACTTGTACCTTTAAACTCCTGACTCAGTTGACTAGATAATGAGATGTTTGTTTGATGCTGAAATGCTGTGCAGTCTGAATTCCAACAGAGATTGCCCATATTGGACTGGATTGAAAATGTGCAACACTTTAAACCGTCACAGTAGCTAGTCATGATAAGGAAAATTCTTCTTTTGAGAGATTTTCCAAAAGATCGACATCATAAAGTAAAGAGCTTTCAACCCAAATTCACTGAAGTAAAGTGAGTCTGGGAGAAAATAAGACTGAGAAGCCTGGTAAAGAAAGAGAGAGAGGAAAAGAAAGAGCTGAAGCAGGAAAACAATGCAAATGAGCATATGAATATTAATGAGGAAACAAAGGCCTTTTGAATGCCTGTATTCCTGTAGTGTATTTATGATGAATGAGGGCCTCAGTGCAGTGTGTCAAGGTCTCCTGACCGACAAATAGCAGGCTAATGACAAATCTCTAAAACATATGCTAATAAAGCTCTTACAATGCATTGCAATCTCTGACCTTTGGGATATAACCCTAAAGGGCAACATGAGAGATGCTAAATTCCAAAAACTAACTGCAATTTATTTCAATGAATGAATTTGATGTGGGTTATCACTGGGCACTGGGCAATCAAATATCAAGATGTTACAAACATCCTATTTTGCCCACGACAAAATTTAATGTAAATCTGATGATTTGTTGCTCAATGAATTGTTTATTTGAATAATATCTGAATATCTCTTAAAACCCACACATAACTGCCCAAAGTTCCTTAGGGTAACATGCTGCTTTTCTGTGTAATGTAGCCAAGCTGACTGCTTCATGATAGCCAAGAAAGCAAAGCAGCAATTGCATAAATACTAGATAGAAATCTTAAACTTAAAAAAATAATAATTCAGAAACGGAAAGTTTGAGCTGAAGTAATATTTAAAAAAAAAATATATATATAATGGACCTTTTAATATACAGTACATAATGGTTTGTTGAACATTTATGTTCTCAGTGCATACCTCTTCTGAACAAGCATAACTGGCTTTTTAATTTAATCTCATTATATGCAGTAGAAACTGGAATTTTTTTTATCTGTATGTAGCACTATACTATAAGGCGCCAGTTCCTTTTTTAAATGTCATACATACGTTTATATTGTAGATTTGCTGCATTCAGGTTTTTTTTTTTTTAACTACATGTCTTGCTAAAGTAAATTTTACATAACATTGTATGACTCAGCCAATATACTATATTTCTGTTTATTCAAATTGTATGTATTAGCATGTTAGTCAAATGGACATC